AAAATAGGACCCAGGTTGTAAAAACAGTTACTGTACATACAGCTCAGAAAGGTAAATGGGAAGTAATGGCAGGGGTGGTGGGAAACTGACCTGCGAAAACAATAACAGGCCAACAACAGTGTGTGTGTGTGAGTGTGTAAGTGAATGAGTATGTGTGAGAGATATAAAGGAGAAACATGAAGCTGACCTGGGCATGCTGCCAGAAACACACAGACACCTCGGACTTCCAAGTCTTCTACAACCTGGTAAGTGACACACACACACACACACACGCACGCACACACACGCACACACACACCATACATCATGAAAATAATTTCCTTATACATATAGTCATACTAAAGCACGTGTTGACTGTGAGACACATGAATGAATTTTGTTCTTTTATCATTAAGGTCAAAGTAGAAGAAGAGATAACAAAGTTATATAAGTACAACTGTTAACCCATCTATTATTCAAAAGCTGTGTGAGGTGTGTGTGCGCAACTGTGAAAGGGTGTGTATCATATTTTCATTATCTATTGTGCAATTAATGGACGTCTAGTCTTAAGATTAGACCTAGTAAATTGATTAGCATTGCACAATTTTGACTTACCACAAGTATTTTATATCTGTAACTTAACTTTTAAGCATAACTTTTAATCCTTTTTTCCTAGTAGAAAGGGCTGCCATAGTTCTTTGTAGGTTTAGTAGTAGAAAGACTATTTATTACATGAGGGTTAAATGTAATACATTTGTGTTACATTTATTTGTTAGAGAGACAAAGAAAAAAATATAATATAAAAATATAAGTAAAGAATGAAGATAAATCAGTTATTAGATGGTTTTGGTGATTTTAAATTAGCCAAAATAAATCTAAAGATGAGTTTTCACTCCAGTAAGGTCTCTTTCCTCACCTTGCAAAGTGCTGTCACAGCCACAGAGTCCATGAAGTTGACCGAGCTGAGATTCAGAACCAAGCAATGAGTATGTGTTGATGTCTGGGCTGAGGAGTTAGAGGAAGACGAGGAGGAAGAGGTAGTAGTGTGGACTCTAGCTGGGTTCTCCTTTTGACCTCGACTCACTGTCTGGTGTGGTGGGGACATGGTATATCAGAACTTCTTCACAAATCCTTGTGCAATCTTTTAATGTCACAAAGACAGACACACATACATGCCAGCTGCATACACACACCACGTGTATTGCCTATCACAAGTGCCGCCACTAAAACTTGTGTCCGTATATTGATGGACTTGTAACCTACATTTGGAAAAGATCTCTAACTCTTTCAAAATCATCTCTCATGTTACAGATGGTAATGCACTCACTTTTTTTCTCTCCATCTGCCCAATCATATTTATTTCACCCCACGTGTTTTTGTGTGTGTGTGTTTGTGTGTTGGTACCTGTCTGATCTCTGTGAACACAAGTTCAGAGTTGGCAAAGTAAATAGGACTGGAACAGGAGAGTATAGTCACGCCAGGAACTTGCTTTGCCTGTTAAAAAACAGATAAACAGTGACACACACAATATATGCAGTTAAGATTGTACAGTACCTACAGTATAAAACACACTAGACAGAAGGTCAGAATTTGGCAACACTACTTAAAGTACCTGACATTAGACCTAAAACAAGTGTGTGCTTGTACATCATGGTGGATTTAGAAACACAGTTGCGCTTGTTTTGTCATTTCTGTCATTGTGAAGGAAATATTGAAGGAATAATTCTGTATCATATTTTACTATGAAAATTCATCACATATAACAAGGTGATATAGCGTCTATGTAAATAGTGCACATTTTGTAGGGGCACTCTCCTTTTGATTGTATTTCTCTTGCCTTGGCTTGAACCTAAAGGTCAAATGTGTTTTTTTTTGACATATTGATTACAATTTCAGATGAAGAGAGGAGATTTTGAAACAAATGTTAAAAAAAGGTTAAAGTAAAAAAACAACAACAATATTTTCATTGGTCCACAGAACTTCAGCTTCAGCCAAGCCTTTTCTGACACATGTATTTGTTCCATCATTAATTATGTTCATTCATTCTGAGCAAACATTTGTTTGTAATTTATGTGAAGGAAATATGTTAGCAAAATCATGTGGGTATCTTCCACAGTTACACTCTTTTTATTATGAACCATTCTGTTTGTGTTATTCTGGGCATCATTGCCTTGTCAAGCTGTAATGGAGGGACACAAAGTGGGAATTTTGTACTAAAAAGATTTAGTGCTGCACGATGTAACTTAGAAAGATATCCTCTTGATTTGGCAAGACGATCCTCTCTAATTTTGCTGAAGCTTCTCCCACAGCTACTATTGAACCCAATTTTATTATAACTAACAGTAAATTGTGTATATGCTGCTTAGTTGTTGCAAACCCGTCCAAAAAGATTTTATGGTTCTTGGAACATACAACAAACCAGTTTGAGACACACTAGACTTTCTGTTTTATGTAACTGATCTGGCTCTACATTGTGGGATCAAAGACAATAAAAAAGGAAGAATATGTACAGAATGAGATCATGAAGGGGAACTTCTACAAAGACAGCCATCACTAATGCATGATAGATAACTTGTCAAAGCACACAGAGGGGAGTTGTGCAGCCGCCACCAGTGTAACAGATTGAGGAGAGAATCAAGAGGAGGGAACAGAGAGCGGGAAGTTGACAGGAATTCACTGATGCTCAGAGCCCAGACAGATTGCCTTTGGTGACAGTTTGGTGTTTTGATGTGTGACAGATGGTGGTTTTCAGCCAGGGATTTATTTATAGTGTGTTTTGGCTGTGTGACAGTTGTACCGTTCATGGTGGTTCATTAAGTTATATAGTTATAAAAGACTGACCTTTACTGGAGAATTTTGGTGTGATATTAGGTGTCAATTTACATGTTTAGGATGCCTTAACTTCAGCAGTTTTAAAAACATGTGTCCAGAATATATTTGTCCATTATAAATCATTTCCAAAGCTGCTTTAATTTAAACTTAAGAATAAACGTTTATCATGTGAAAAATTGGCATTTATTCAGACCGACATTAATCTACATCCTACACATTGGTGCCCATGAAATGCTTGCTGTGTACATTTGCATTTGCATCGCAGATGCTGTGATCTAGTTGAAATTGGGATGTGTTTCATGTGCAGATAGAAGATGGAGATGGCTGTGGAGAATTCATTATCAACCATGTTTCACACTGATGGCATTTTAGATATGCTAGTCCACAGCCTGTAGTTAGCTAAGATCATCAGGAGTCATGTAAGGTCAGTGTGATTCATCTCTACCAATTAGTAAAGCATCAACAGAATCAGGACTTGGCATATTGCAGTTGAATTATGGCCTGCTGCCCAATTATAAACCATTACATTATTATATTCACACAGTCAAACTTCATGTTGTTAAATTAGACTGACAGACTTTGGCCTTCATTTCTTTAGTGTCTAAAGTGTTTGCGCTTAATTATCGTATTATTTGATTCTTTCTTTCCATACTAATGTATTCTTATGGAAGTAATTTATAGTAGGACTGCACAATTAATCGAAATATTATCCAAATCTCAGTATGGCCAAATGCAATATCCAAATTGCTAGAAGCTGCAACTTTTTAATAAAGGTAAAATGTGTGACGGAACAGCATTATAGTGAAGTACTGTAGTGCTGCAGAGATGCCCTGATATACAAATCTTGTTCTCCAGATGTAAGAAAACATCATACTTTTGTTAATTAAGACAACAAATGTCACGTCATCATGAATTTAATATTTTTTTTTAGTGAAAATTCAAATTGAGATGCAAAAATTATCTTTCCCACTATATCGCAATATCGGCCAAAATAATCACAATATAATAATTTTTACCATTACGGGCAGCCCTAATTTATAGTTGTATAATATAGTATATTAGTACAGTAGTCTAGTTGTATTTCTACTTGTTACCAAGGATAAGCCCTATTGTGACACTGAGGCTTGATGGAATAAATGCTAACTATCCTGAGCAACCTCTGTAAAATCAAACTTACAGCTGTGTCTGACTTTAAGTGAAATACATTTAGTAAAAAGCTTTAGTGACTCAGCTACAGAGAAACATTATGAGAGGAGGGTGGAGGAAAAAAACAGTATAAATTCATGGTGAGATGGTAAAAACAGAACAGTTTCAGCCAAGGACTTATTTTTCTATGTGGTGTATTAAGGACTATATATGACAGATGGATTCAAGTATAGAGTTGGCTGTTTTGGATTTGCGATAAAGTTGCAGTCTTTCCAACTGAAACAACTTAATAGGAAACGTACAATGTTTTGGGAAATATGCTTCTGTGTTAGATGAGAAGATCAATACCACTCTGTAATCTGTACCATAAATACAGCCAGCAGTGGAAAATCTCACTAATTAATATGTTATGTCATTTGCACACAAACCAAAATGTAAAAATGCTAAGTAACTATTTCATGACTAGGCAAAGTAGCTTCTGAACTAATGTCATGCCAGGCAACCAGTAAAGCTGTGAGTTGCCATTTTTATATTTATTGTGTACAAAGCTATTTAAAACTACTACAAGGAGTTTTAAACTGATGTCTCTATCTGTCCTATATAAGCGCACAAGACCATCAGCGAGAACATTGGCTATTTTACTTTTGTTAATTTACTACTATAATAACTTTGCATTCTTTAATGCTCAAAAAACACATTATATTTTGTCATGCTGCCATTGCAGCAGCATCTCTGTTCACCCCGTCTGAGCTCCTGTCCCCCCAGAGTCTGCTCAGATTGGTCAGATTGGTTAGACCCAAACTTTTCATTGTGAGCAGGCCCACGCCCACCGTGTTGCAGCATCATCCACTGTTTGTTTTTAGCAATGTGCAAGCTAACGTAGGCCTAGCTGCTGGGTGCAAATCAAAGTTACACAATGTTGCCAAGCAAATGAATTCCTGCAATTTTACTGTTTCTTTTTCAAACGTAGCTATACGGTTACGGTTTTCAGGGCATCTCTATTGAGTGGATTTACATTCAGTAGCAACATACACACACGGATAACAACAAAGCTAACGCTAACAGAGCTAAAGCCGGTGCTGCAGTACAAAGTTACACAAAAAGCAACATGAAAATACAGTTACCGGCATCAAACCTACTACTCTTGTTATTTAGTTGGCTTCAAATGAGTCTTAACGTTGACACAGTTTCTCTTTACTGTCCCTCAATATGACAACATTAGACCAACGACGCCCCCTGTCTGCTAGCCACATTACCACTGTGCAACATGTTAACACCAAGTTAAACAGGCTAACCTACAAAATAAACAGTAAAACAGTCCGTAGTGAAAAGCATGAAAAAACATTTCCACTGAAAATAAAGTGACTATGGTCACGGTATGTGTTTTTTTTTTTCACTTTTCATACCTTTTACATGCAAAAAAAATCTGATTTGGTCAGATTCCCCTTGAAATCAATGAAACGAAGTGGTAGAAACACTACTGCTTTTTTTGCCAGAATCAACACAAAATTAAAGTTCCTTGTTGCTGCTTTAATATGTGAAGTGCTTTAAGCTGCAGTTCCTCTCATTGCCACATGGTGGCTCCATAAAAACTCCTTAATTTTTTATTTATTTACACTTTGTGTTTCATATACTTTCCTAATTGTCTTAACTTAATACCTTGAGCAGCAACAAACATTTAAAAACCTTTCATTGTGAGACAGATTGAGTTTACCTCAGTATAGAGTGCCACATCTCTGTAACAGTCTGTACCTCGAATATGACCCAAAACAACCGTGGTGGAGCTGGAAGAGGAAAACAAGATGAAAGACAGGAGAGAGAGAGTGAGGGGGATATTAATGAGGGTGCAAGTCTGCCTGGGAGACAAGTGAGAGGAGGGAAGGAAATGCAAAACTTTTGAACTTGTGTGGAAAAATATGATGAAAAAGTGAATGAATGAATAAATGAATGAAGAAGAAACAAATCCCTTTGCTTTCCCCAGAAAAAATCATTCCTTTGCTTTTCTGTTTTGCTTTCCAAAAGATTAACTTTCCGTATGTTTTACATCACTCACAGTACTAAAATGCCCTCCTCCTGATGTGTGCCATAAGACAACCTTACTTTATGTTGCACAGCAGTAATGTAAAGGCCCTGTAATCTGTGGGTTTTGCAGTTTACCTGCAGTTCAAGTATATCAGGTCATAAACAATTACTTTTAACTCAGTTGTTTGGATTAAATAAAACTATCAATGCAATGGTTAAACTTTATCAGGAATAATTTTAGCAGATACTTGAAGGCTACATAGGTTAAACAATAAATTATTGCCTATTTCGTATTCTATTATGTTTTTTGCACCAACAATAACAGTATCTGTAGAAAACTGTTAGTTTGGCCAAAATGGGACATCACTAACTGAGGAATAATGTTATAACAACTTGATGGTAAATACATGTGGATCTGTGTAATGTCAGAGCTGAAGGCTAATCTGTCTGAACTGTACAGCAATCCATGACATTCAGTGATATTTACTGACTGTTGTGTCCTGTAGATGAGTGTGAGCAAAGAGAAGACGACAGCCACAGCCAGACCCAGGTCCAGGTTAAAAATCAGCGTGGAAATCAGTGAGGCTCCCCAAACCAGCTGAAGAAGAGGATGGAGAGAGAAGCAGAATCAGAGGGGGTTCGGTACTCTCTCTCTCTCTGTGTGTGTGTGTGTGTGTGTGTGTGTGTGTGTTAAGCCTACCAGGTCTAATCTGTCAGACTTCCAGAGCACACACACATCTTTGAACTGAGCCATTATCCCCTGCAGGTTCACCACGATGATCACTGCCAACACTGCCTGGAACACACAGCGAAGCATTTATGAACACTGGCTAAGACACGTGAGTCATCCTGACAGTGAGTCTCGTCCAGATGGAGCATGACTTGACATTTCTTAAAACATCTTCACGGATATGCTTCATAATTCATCATGATGGTTTATGGAAAGACATACCTTGCACGACAATCATATCTCTTCTATAGATTGTTTTGCATTGTGTGACAGTACTTGTTCTCACTGCATGGCTTATAGACTCTAGAAATTATTGTTCACCAAGTCCTTTACAAATCAACAACACTTTCAACATTCAAGTCTCCTGGAAAGTATAAGAAAACTGTAATAGATGAGATTCTGGTGATTTCAACCCTTGTTTAGCAACTTATAAAATGAACATAAATAACATTTGTTATCTCATATGCACTTTACCTTTGGCAGCTGCTCAAAGAGATGACCGATCTTTAATAAGATGGTTAGAATCACCAGAGCTGATACCAAACCTGCCATCTAAGACATGAGATTAAAACATAACAAGAGGACAATAAGTAAAGGACAATAAAGAAAATGCTATTTAAAATAGTTATATAATTGAAGAAGATTAGATTTTAGTTGCTTCCATATACAGTCTTTAACACAGTGCAAATACAAAGGTGAGATAGTGTTTTTATGTCTTTTGGAATACCTGTGATTTGACTCCTATACTGTTCTGGACCATACTGCGAGAGAAGGAGCAGCTGACAGCAAAACACTGGAACATTCCTCCGATGGTGTTACACAAACCCAGAGCCAGCAGTTCCTGAAGCAGAGCAACAGCACAACAGCATTTTGAAAAGTACGCACTGAGGCTGCAGCTGATCTTAGATTTGTTACAAATCTCATGCATTTAGCAAGTTATCTTTAAGAAAACAGACAGACATTTTAGGATTTCTAGCAACCAAGGGTTTACATGCATGTTTGATTGGAGACAAACTCTGACTGACAGAGCAAACTCTGCAGCAGCTTCCACAGAGAGATAAAGTCACCTACGTGGCTTTTAGATCAGCATTTATTTCTTCTGGCTTTTAAACCATATGTTCTTATTTAAGAATTTTTAGGATACAGGTTTAATCTTGAAATGATATAAATACATTATGTGATTTCTGTTAACCTCTGTCAATGAGATCTTCAATAACACAGATGCAGCTCACCTTTTCATTCCCTTGAGTTACAGTAGCCTCTTGTTGAAGTTAGATTTTATTAAGACAGAATTAAGGTACCCAGAGCAAATTCAAAGTAAGCGATTAGTAAAGAGGAAATATCTGCGAAATACTGTAATATTAATGCTGTTTTGCTATTGTGGCTGTGGATTGAAGCTCATATAGCCTCTGCAGCTAAAATATCTTTGTGTGTGTGTGTGTGTGTGTGTGTGTGTGTGTAAGGAAGTTTTTCTTCAACTTATACCAGTTTCTCTTACTTTCTCCACAAATTTTTTAATCCGTGGCCGGTGATTACTTATTTGTGTTTGTTTTGTCGCAGTTTGTACTTCACTTAAATTACATGTTTAATGATTATGCCCCTCTACATATGTACTTTTCTACCTTTTTTGCTTTTAAAAAAGCAGACCCTACAACAAGGGCTCAATCTCAGCTGAAATACGGGTCAAAATTGCTGTGAATGTACCTGGCTGGGGTCTACGCGGTAGCCGTGTTTGTGGGCGAACATTGAGCCCATGGCTGAGAGGAAACTGAAGCCAACCAGAGCCACAGACAGAGCTGGAATGAACAGCTCTCTGGCCTGAGAGAGAGATGGAAGGACTGGGGAAGACAGGCTAGAGAAGAGGAGGAGGAGGAAGGAAAGAGATGACAGCTTGATCAACTGAATGACTAATTGATTATTCAAAGAAAAAATAAAATATACAGTAATGTATAGAATTATGACCACCAAGATGAGTCACCCCATGAATTACTTATCTCACACACACTGCATTCTCTTAAAGCTATCAAAGATAACACAATGATGCTAACTGGCTTATTTTATATGATGAGAGCAGAAGTATGAAGAATTGGAGGTTAGACAGAGGTTAGATTGTAGATAAAAGAAGATAAGATAAAAGAGTCATATAGCTTTAAATTCTATGGTAAAAGCATATTAACTAACAAACAAATATATTGGTTTGCCAGTATATATACAGCATATTGATAAAGACAGTATGTAATAAAAATGAATTATAATATAGCCATTTTCATTTCAGTGATTAATGATTAGTTAAAGGCTGAGAACTAAATTATTCCTGAATTAATAAAACATTTGACTATAGGTTCATCAGCTTTGCTCTATAAGAACATTCAATTCAAAATTCATATTGTTTTAAGTTCATAACTAAGTAAAATTCAACACAGTCTGAGAAAATATATTTAAAAAATCAGACAGTGACACAGTTCTACTGACCCACTGGGTATGTGTCCCACCACCTGGACTCTGTGCTGTCCAGCCAGATCCATCTGTACTGACAGGATGGTGCCCAGGACGATCTGTGGGAGAAAAACAATGGACGGGACATTCTGCACAGTGTCCAGTTTGGAAAACAACAATATACAGTATTCTACATCTAAATGTCAGATCATTTAGTCTGTTCATACACCTGCACATGGACACACACATTATCATAATCAGCAGGGTTGGGAGGGTTACTTTAAAAATGTAATCCGATATAGTTACTAATCACCTGTTAAAAAATGTAGTCAGTAACCTAATCACAGTATTAAAGTAACGTAACTTGATTTCTTTACGTGAGTTTTGGATTAGCTCAACAACAAATATGCAAATAACAACAAGAGAAAGGAATGTCAATAAGAAGTATTGATGAAAGTGTATTCTACAAGACAACAGAACAATGTGACCTTAGAAAAAAAATGGAAAAAGAAAAAATAGGGGAGGAAATATCCTCTGCTTTGTATTTTTAAAGAAAAAAAAAGTGTATTCCGAAAGTATAGGTAATAGAATTTGTCACAATATCTGCCTCTCTGTCCCCCTCTTCAGCCACACTTTCCCCAGTCCATTGAGCATTATTCTTTACCTCACCACCAGATGCCCCCAGACTTTTCTCCTTCCATTCCAGATCCTGCCACTCCCATCCACCCTGCAATCTCCTCATTCTGCTCAACTGAGCTTCCCCACCCACCTCCACAGATACTTTGTTCCTCTGTTTGTTAACTAGTTTGTCCTAGTTATGTTCCTGGCTTGAATTGTGTTTTTGCTCTTAAGCTTCTGTCACCCAAACCCAGATCTGAACCTGCCTGCCTGTCTATCTGTCTGTTTGTTACCTTTCTACCTGTCTGTCTGTCTGCCTGCAAGCTATTCTTTTTAAAAAAAACACTAAAGTTATTCTCCTGCCTGTTTAGTCTGTGTTTGGGTCCTATCCTTCAATTGTTCAACTTCTTTTTTTAATAAGCTAAAAATTTTTTACAATTTTTGTACTGACTTTTGCACAATTATATTTTGCGTTTTAGTTACAATAATCTAAATTGAATTACTCTGAACTTTTTCAGCAGTTTGAGCTACAGTAGCTCATCTGTTGGATCGGACCACACGGGCCAGCCTTCACTCCCCACGTGCATCAATGACCCTGACCGCACATGACCCACTTCACTCCTTGTCCTTCCTTGGACCACTTTTGATAGATACTGACCACTGCTGCCCGGTTTTCCTGCTTTAAACACATCAACTTTGAGGTCAAAATGTTCACTTGCTGCCTAATATATCCCACCCACTGACAGGTGCCATGATAACCATGCTCATAATGTTATGGTTGATCGGTGTATGTATAATAGAATATTACATACAATTACCGCCTCTGCCAAAAAGCAGAGTTTACCTCTATGTCAGTCCAGACTCGACTCTTGAGTTATGGCCTTTTGTGAGGTCACAGTGACCTCTGAAGTGGATTACTGTGCCAGATGTAATGAAATTTCCTCCTGGCATTCCTGACATATCACATTCATGAGAATGGGACAGACATTCACAGTGACCTTGTCCTTTGACCACCCAAATCTAATTCAGTTTATCCTTGAGTCTAAGTAAATGTTTGTGCCAAATTTGAAGAAATTCCCTCCAGCTGTTCCTGAGATGCATCCACAAGAATGGGACACATGGACGGACGGACGGATGGACAGATGGATGGACAACCCAGAATGATGGTTAATCAGTGGCCAGGTGCAGATATTTATTGTATGTGGGGATTTGAGGTTTTGGAGATAAAAACAGATTTTTATATAATTATGAGTCATTCATCAGTTCATCACTGTGGCATCTGTCCATCTGGGTGCATCTTATGGGCATGAGTCTTCTGTGTTTGTGTGTGTGCGTTTGTGTGCATCCCTCACCAGTATAAGTTCCCACGGTATAGCGACAGGCAGCTTGTTCTTAAAGCGCTCATTCAGCATCTTGCCTCCGATTAGTATCACCATGGAAACCACGGAGACTGACAGAGCTCCTGGTACAGCACTGGTCACTCCCTGCAGAACATCCTTTAAAGCCTGGAACACACAGTTTCAAACATTTTGTATATCCTTTAAAAACCAAAAATATAGCAACGAGTAACTTAAGTAACTCAATGCTCAACTACCATATTTCAAAACAAGACTGATAATTTCTCTAGCTGCTATCACTAGGACAGTTATCAGTGCCCAGTGATCATGTTGCTGTCAGTCATGTCTTCAGGAACAATTTATTTTTTCTTCACTTATACTCTTAGACCCTGAGGTGTGATTGTCAGGTGTGAACCACTCCAGTATAGCATATTGGAAGTTACGGCCTAGTGAACATGAAGGAAATCTACCACCTGCAAACAGATGATAAGCAACCCTGACACTTTCTAAGCTGAGCCTACACCTTGATCCTCCATGTAGAGGTGGCAAGGTGCATCTTTGGAGGCGTTTGACACCAGCCTAGAATTTGCCCTATGTAAACACAAAGCTATCACTCACTCACAGCAGTAACTCCTGCAGCAGTCACGAAGGGACTTTAATTGCCAAGACAACATTATATGCCAAGATTGAATTCTTTAGGTTCTAAGTTAATGTGAGGTGCAGAGACACTGTTGGGGTCTGCCAGTACCGGGCCAGAAGGATATGACCTCCAGTTTGACGAAACAATCTCAAGTCCTCATTATTGCCAAATTGTTGTCAACTGTGACCTTCTAGGTCGTAGCCAGTGAGAGCACTGAAGCCAGAAATCCAACTGGGGTTTATGTCCTGTGTGAAACTTAATTATTATTATTTTTAGACTTAGCTGACTTATATTTTTATTATATATTACCCCTTTATTATTTTACAGTCCGCTAATTATCTGGTATTTATATTTATACCTATAAGAAAAGGATAGTAAATAAGTTATTACCTAGTACAAGGTAAGGAAAACCTAGCTACCAAGAAACTATATGGTAATACAGTCTAGGTATAAAACACATTAATATAGTACCCATAAGGGAAGGATAGTAAATACTAAGTAAAATTATATTTAGTACACAAAAAGTAAAAATAAAGTACAGATAACTTTGATATGATTGATTCGTGAAAACATTGTAGAAGCAGATACTACATATCATCAAGCCACAACAGGATACTTTTTAATACTTTTAGTTTGGGTTAAAAAAGAACCTGTAAAAGTGGGAGCTGCAGATGTTGAATGCTAACAAAATCTTTTTTTTCTTTGTTAGACTGATTTGCTGTTGTTTTGTTGTTTGACTAATCATGTATTAGCCAGTACAGTAGTACTTAAATATCCATTTAACTAATATAACAACAGAAATGACTTTGTTTCAGCTTTACAGACAGACTATCAATTAAACATACACGAGAAAAGCCACTGAATTCTATAAGCCAGTGGAAGAGAGACTAGCTTAGAGGTCAGAGATCAGCCACATAACAGCAGTACAGGAGCTTAGCAAATCTTGCCCAAGGATACTTCAGCAGTGTTGAAGGTTGCCAATATAAATGTGTGTGTGTCTACCGACCCAAGCTGAAGGCAGCAGTCCACTGTGTCTCTGTGCAGGTATTCCAGTCATCAGTGGCAGCTGCAGGATGGCCACATGCAGACCTGCAGCTGTGGTGTAGCCTCTGATTACAGGATCAGACAGCCAGCGACACACACCGCCACCACGCAACAGGTACAACAGGAGCTGATGAAACACACACACACACACAGCTTTAGTTATTTTTTTTCTCTTTTGTTTTCCCATGTACATGAAAAACTGTGCAGAATGTGGCCTCTGTGAATGTTTCTGACTGTGTGTTAACTGATGTTTTCCATCGCTAGAAAGATGTGCCATCAATCTCTTCTAGGTGCTGAAAAACATCTGATCATCATCATTTGAAGACCATGGGTGGCAATAGTCAAAATAATTGTCCCACCCCCAAGAGAGGATTTCAGTTATGGGCAGTGTGGAAACCCAGTGAGGGATCTTGTCAGTGCAATGGTGAGGTTGGTCAGAGGATTCGGCATGGAGTGGGTTGGGAGTAGCATAAACCTCCCACATATTTCAGAGGAATAAAATTATATATACCAAACAACAAAACAGACTCAGGAATTAAAAAATCATGAACAAATCCTTTTTTCTCTTTTACAGTTAGTTTTTTCTTTCTTTTTTTTTTTTACAGTTTTAAAGATTTGGGCAGATATTTAATACCTGATGTTGACCTGTAATGAAGAAGAGAATAGTTTCAGAGAATACAACAGGTTATAGATGAAAAGATTCAAACAAATATGACAATGGGATTTCTCTTTTCGCCTGCTTGTCTCCATAATGGGGCCAGAGGTCAGAGGTGAGTACCAGCTGTACAGCAGTGAGTGTGAGTCTGTGCATACTGTTGTCCATGTATTGTCTAACGTGTGTGTGTGTGTGTGTGTGTGTGTGTGTATGTGTGTGCACCTGTAGGACGCCACAGAGAAAGGTGAGTTGCACAGCCACATTCATTTTCGCTGCTTCCACATCAATCTGACTCGCTTCAACACCGTTGCTAGGCAACTCCACGTTGGCTGTCACAGACCCAATCATGATTGCCAGAACAGCAAAAGTACCTATCACACATAAACAGACACACATACTCACTGTGTTTATGAGTATTTGGTAATCACATGAATTTATACTGTGAGATTAAACTGCAACAGTAAGACAAAAAGAAAGCTCAGATTATTGTTGAACTAATGATTTTTATACAACTAGAATACAACTAGGTTTTTAAAGTTTCTTGGATATTTTGTGCCAATATTTTTCTGAGATGCTCATGAGCGAGGCACTGCAGTTGTGGAAGACTGCACGACGGCAGTTTATAGACACAAAGGTCCTTCCAGAAAAGTCAAGGATGACAGTCACCGATGGAGAGGTGTCTGGAAGTGCCGAAGATGAAGTAAATGATCAGAGGGTAGAATGAAGTGTAGAGACCAAACACTGGAGGAATTCCCACCAACATGGCGTTGGCCATACCTGAGAATAGGAGAAGAGAGGTGGAGGTGAGAAGCCTGCCTTGAATGAACAACTAGTGCGTATTACTAAAAGCAAAGTAAAACCCAGTATCATTAAAACAGCTGTTCAGAAAGCCACTTTATTTGTGGTGGTTGTGCATGAAAAGAGAATAATTAGGGGGTTTGGGGTCTCTGCACTCATGTCTCATTAAGAATTATAGACAATGCCAAATATCACCAATCTTTGTAGCTGGATGGCAATGGTGGACATTTTATAGATCTTTTTGGTGCTGCTTTACACACTTCTTTAAACACCCATCAGTAGACCAATTGATGCAATCACTGAGCAATGATGAATAGAGGTGAAGAGTAACACAGGTGCATGAAGTTATTGTGGCTGTCTGTAGTTGTTTAAACCGCATTAAGACTTTGATTATCATACGTTGCTGCATCCTCACCCTGCGGCAGCTGTATGATCCCGACACTGACTCCAGACACCAGATCTCCAATGGCATTTTCTCTGATGGAGTAGCCAGGCAGCCATGATAGGACAGGAAAAAAGCCCAACAGGAAGCTCTTCAACCTGGGACCAGAACAACTGGAGGAACACACACAAACAGACACATACACAGGGTTTAAGGGCATAGAGCTTCAGATAAAGCACCTTAATCATCTATTTACCCTAAAAACAGGATGAAGGCCCAAACTGACAAGACCAAAAACTAAACCTATCTTCTCACTCACCAACATTGTGCTTTCACTTTCTCCAAAAATGACAAATAGTTTTTTTCTACCCGCTCCCCAAGGACATCCAGCTGTGCTTCGTCCAGGGCAACAGCAAGGTAAGGCTGCCTGTAGTGAGGAAGGCCACTTTGCTCAACACTGTCCATCTGAAATCAATGTCGAAGATTACTGGCAGTACAGTCAAGTTTCACTTTGTTTCAGTACTGGGTGTGTTTAATGTGTCTTGTGTCCTTTTCTTAATGTCTGTCACATGTGTGTATGAAGTTACAGGACAAAGAAAAATACTAGTAGTAACTGTATAGGTAAGCAAAACAAACCAAAGCAGTGAGATAGGAGGGCTGACCGAATCTGTATCAGCACGAAGCTTTGAATACAAATAGCTCCCATGAGCGACAGCATGCATGTGAGGATAACACACACACGCACACAGTTCAGCAAACTCACACATGTGAGCCAGGGGAAGGTAGAGAACAGCCTTGAACTCTGCACATTACAGCGAGTTTATGGCCCCTTTTCTCCTCCCCTTCACCCCCGCCCCCATTCAGTACGTCTGAATGCCTCTATTATCACAGCTTAGCTTACAGAGACTCATGGTCTGAATGTCTGTGTGTGTGTGTGTGTGTGTGTGTGTAGGTGTGCTTGTGTGTGTAAAGAGAGAAAGAGAGAAAACAAGCAAATGAGCAGCAGCAGTTTTAATATGTTTTAGTGTATTCTACTTTGTACAATGAGTAATTTTTAAAAGCCATTCCAACTGAGAAATTAATTGAAAGACCGACATGGGGGAAATGAAGAATGTAGATAGGAAGAAGACAAAGAGAATGAAAACCATAAAAACATAGGCCATGTTTCCACAGTGTTTTTCACTGTCCTTTTAATCTCACTACAAAAACTAATTGGAATGGACATTTAAAATAAACAGTGCCCGCCAGGGAAACTTTCTCAAAGGGAAAGTCAAGAAAAACATGTCAAACAACCACAGTTTTTATTATTAACCTTTATTAGGGGAAACATTTTTAAACCCAAAATGCAGTATTTGAAAACATGATAAACATTGACCTAACAAGATACCTTTGTTTGTTTAAATATAGAAACATCACTCACTGCATCATTACATCTATGTACATCACTCATTTGACATTAGTATACTGATATTTAAAATGTAGCAGTAATAAAACCAAATAATACACTAGAGAAAAGCAGATTCCTATGTTCTATGCATAGGAAAATACAAAAATGAACTGTCCCTGTAGCACTGATTCTTCAGTAGTGTATCTGTCTCAAAAGCAGCATGAGGTTTCTGATGCGTTCTGCACGGCAACGAGGTGACTGGTGAAGAGGCAACTCGAAGAAAGAGAAGGTGAAGCTCCGCGAGAAACTGAGGTTGGTGACGGGACGCAGAGGTGGGAGACGGGGAGGACGAGGCACCCGACGCTGGGGCAAAATCCTCCGCCTCGCCCGCAACCCTCTACCCCCTCCACCTGCAGAGACAGAGCCATGGACACGGACAAATGTTAGAAATATGATTGCCCATAAAAATAATGCCTGTAAACTGCTCCAAAAAGTTAGTAAGTGGACCTTAAGCTCTCATCAGAAAGTTGTTAGACTACTACAGAAATATGAAAAAGGATACGACGTGTATTCATCAAAATCCTAAGTGTGAAATTTTGCACTTAAGTGAAAGATTAAGCTACTTTAGTGGTGATGTTAGATTTAAACGAATGGTCCCTTTTGAACGACTCTAACAGAGGAACGAATAAATCGATTTGCAAGCGGAAGTGATTAAAAAATCCTGCTGTATGATGCGTGCGCAGTTGTGCATGAGATCTAGTTTTATTTCAGACTCAGAAAGTCTCTCTAGGCCAAAACAAACTCACAGGAAGAGAGCTGAGGTTTGAAGCCAATCAGATATAGTGGCCAAATGGTGTAATGACAACAATGGCGACATCACTTGATGCACACTGTCACTGGCCCAAAAATACTTTTTCCCATAAGGTTACATTATGAAAGATGCAGCTGTAAAATGGTGGATACATTCAGTCCCTGCGAAATGACTCGTTTTGCTATCAGAATTTGAACCATTCGGTTCAATAACCTGTAGAGAGTCTAGAAGAGAAGCACGATTAAATAATTTTATCCCTATTTAAGTTAGCAGGTTGGCAGGCAGAAGTAACTTAATACCTGGAAAGCTGAACAACTTCCAAGTTTTTTTTCTGAGGTAGTGTATACATTTCTTCAGAAATAAAACAATTAAAAGTAAACATACAGTAGGTCAACATTATTTTTAAAAATGTTTTAGCTTTGTTACATTGGCTAGACATGAACGTGACCCTTGTTCCAGACATACCTGCGCTGTCCTGAAGGACTGCAACAGGTGGAGATGGAACCTCAGAGTTAAAACTGGAACTTGAAACTTCATTGTCATTCTGTCTCCCACGATAAGGAGAGGACGGTGTGGGCTGAGGAGCAGGAGGGGGTGGAGGCGGAGGCGGAGGGGGCCGCGGTGGGAGAGGTGGGGGGATTGCCGTGAAGGAGGATTCGGAGAGAGCCAGGCCGCCCCAAGGTGTCATGGTTGAGTCTGAGAGGAGGATGGAGGAGGGCCCTGGATGAGGGTGTGAGGAGGAGGATGATGATGTTTGCTGCTGGCTGCGTTTTCTGCGATTAGCCTGATGGAGAGCTGGGGAGGAGAGAGGTGGCTTGGCTGTGGTAAGAAAGGTGAGATAAATAAAAATAAAAAAATAGAATGGGGAGTAGTTAGCTGAAGTGGTCTGGCTTAAAACCCCATGTAAGCAAACATCTGTTCTGATGAAGTGTCCTTGAGTAGGACACACCAAGTTCAGAAAAGTAAACTTTGTGCCAAATGTAGCAGGGATTAAAAATGTATTGAATTTTCTAATCAAACAAATAATTTATTGCCCAGAAGTAATGTAATATGACATCAGTGCTGGATCCCAGTTACATTATATACTATATATGTATATACTAATACTATAATTTATTTATTATGTATTTTACAGTGTATTATGGCAGGAGGTGCATGAAAAATGCTGACAGGAAGTGGTACAAGCATCAACAGACATCAAACTGCCTTGTGGGATATCAATGTCATCCTCAACCAGAGTGATTTTAGGATACATGCAGAACTTACTTAGTGCATAGTTAAAACTCAGATGGATTGGGTAAATATGTCTGTATTACGATAAAGAATGTATTGGGTCAATATATATAGATAGGAGGACTGCTTTTTCTTCTCTATTGCAAACACTTTTTGATTTAAGCTGATAAGGCAAGTTTATGTTTACATAATATTTTACAAAAACAGTAGCATCAGCTATCAGAAGAATAATACACAGGCCTGGAGCTGTTTATGAAATTCAGCTGAAACTGCACTGTACCAAAGTTATTAGTTTTGAAAGAAACTGTCTATAATGTTCATGTCCGATTCCCAGCACACAGGCACTGAACAACATACCTGAATAATATGGATATTAAGTGTAAAAACTATCAGTAAATGGTCTGTTGTATGACAGGTATAATCAGTATTTCCTACTCAGTACTTTTGTTCTTGGATGAATCCCAATGGTAGAATCAAAAAAGACATTTTTAAACTTCAATAGGACTCTAACAATGAAATTTATAAATACAAAACACATCAGGTTTTCAGATTTTATCATTATAAAATGACATTAACTGATAAAATATCTCTAAAACATGCTCCTGCAGCATTATAGCCTCTGTCAAAGGAGAGGTGAATGGGTGATAAGTGGATCACCTGTTGTTTTACCTCCAGATGAACCAATGAGAGGCAGCCGTTCACGTGACATCACCAATCCGGGGCCCTGACAGCAGAAATAAGTGTGGCTATTTCACAATTGACATGCTCACACTTGTAGCAAATAAGTTCACAGTTAACAGTGTGTCTCTTTCATCATTCACACACTACACTGCATGAACAGTCCGTACACACTGCAATATAAATATGCATTGATTTTGGCATGGCTCTGTAGTATTCATGGTCCCTAGAGGATGAATCTGACTGGATTTGGTGAACAGCTGATTCTAGCAACACCAGCAGGTCAAAGTTTTTACTATAAATATCTCAACATCTACTAGATAGATTGACAAAAACAGGGTAAACATGCTGGCCTCACAGAGCCGCCAACATGGCTGTAGTCTTCTGTCTTTATCCTTCACTTTAATAAAATCCTCTTTCAAAAAGCTTTGTTACTTATAACTTGTTCCTTGACCCACAACCCAACTGTTCACCAAATATTATTGAATTTTTATGAGATAAATATATAGGACATAACTACTTTTAACAGCTTTTTATGTGAGATAGAAACAAAAAAGGACAACAGGATGTATATACACACATTGAAAGAGAGGTTAAACACAGAGTTTGGTTATTAAAAACCATGTTCCAGATTCATACTGTCGATAATGCACGCTATTTTGAGCTGTGGTTAAAGCACCAAAAGAGCATGTGTAGGCTCATGATGCACTTTAGACTATCTTTTTTTCAATTTGGCATTTTAAATTCAGCATTTGGCTCTTCTGCGAGTGTGACTGTTTGGAAAGGGAAATGAGGAAAGGTCAGTGCTCTGTCCTTGCACCAAACATGCAGATAAACAGAGAAAGATAATAAAAAATCCTCTAAAACGAAAGACATCTTCTTGACACCACGTTTCTGAAAAGCTCGTATTGAGAGTTGCAGATTACAGTTACAGTAAGAGGCAGGAAATAAACACAGTGAATGGAACATCGTCTGAAGCAAGCTGGGAGAGAGAGGGAGAGAGTGTGTATACCTCTTTGATGGGTGTAAATTGTCACTCTTCTGTACTTTGACAGCAGAATAGAAGTCACTTCCTGTCTCTCCACATGTTATTTGAAGACTGAAGATTACTAATTCTGATCAAATCTTTTTCAGAAAAACAGTCTTCCCTTAAAACATAAAATGTATCCCGGACATACATCCTGGTCTCGGAAAGCATTTTCCTCTCAGTGCCTCATCTTACACCCCCTCACTCATCAATCAGTCCTTTCCTTCATTTTTCTGCCTCGTCCATCCTGTAATGTCTTCCCTCCTCTCTGCTTGTCTTTCTTTCCCTGTTTCTCTTCTCTCTTTACCAGCAGTGACGCTCAGTGCAGCAGGTGCTTCTACATTTCAGTTTGGCCCTTTACTCCCTCCTCGCCGGCCTCACCATTACCTTGTCAGCAGTGATGCTTTCACTCTCTCTCCTCTTTTTTCTCTCACCCTTTCTTCCCCTTGTAAGTGATAGTGGTGGTTACACAGGTACTTTGTGCTCTTGCTTTCCCTCCCCCCTCCCCATTTTCTTTCCCTCAACAAGAGGGTTGCACTTTCCTCTCTTTTGTAGTTTTGGAAACTTTCATCTTCTTGTTCTCCAGCTACCTCCCTTTCTCCTCCCCTCTCTTTCTCCCCCGTTACTGGTCTTCTTCAAGGTGACATTAGCTTTCTTTCTTCCTCTCTATTCCTCCTTCTTTCTCTCCGTTGTGAGTGGCAGGTGGTGAGATGGGTGCTTGACAAAAGGCAACGTGAGACGAGGCTTAAATATTAAAATATTCATGGATACCTGCAGTCGGCCCCTTCATGGGCTCTGACCCCCATCCAGCCCTCCACACACACACAAATACAGATATAGACAACAGTGCAAGTACACTGACATGTCATTTACCCAGCATCTTCGGTAACATCAACATTTTAGATCGTCTCACACACACACACACACAAACAGGGATACAGGTGCACACTTAATCTGACTTCTATATTTAAATTTCAAGCAAGCAACTGTGAATCAACACACAATCATGTACACACACGCTCTAATCTACAGTGTATGACATTTAACATGTCGCAGGTGAGCATGCTGCTAACCGTCTCACACTTCATCAGACACATCTACATTTGCATTCCAGGCAGGCAGACACACACACACACACACACACACACACACCAAATATGCAAATAGAAGTGTGCACAGTCTCTTATTAACCTGCCACTTAAGCAGTGTTAGCATTTCATATCACAACACATTCTGCTTCAACAGTGCTAAATTAGCATTTCAGAACACATGCACACACATGCACACAATATAATCACAGTATGAGTGGGCATGGTTACACAAACACACACTACAAGTACACACTGTTGACTTAAAAATTGAGTTTTGAATAATCCCAAAACAAATACTATTTCCTAACTCTGTGGCTGGATACTAAACTGTGCATGCACAATCACACACACATACAAACATTTCTACTGTGTGTAATTAATTACAGTTCTATTCTTAACATTTATACGAAGTGTGAATAGAAAGCAAATAGTTGCAACACAAGAAAATACACTGACACACACTTTGGTACTTCTGTACATGTGAGAACTCTCGCAGACTCAAATATTTCCTTGCAGTAATGGTAACCTTAACCATCACTACTACACGCCTAACCAACTCAGTTTAACCTTAATATAAACCCAACTGTAACCCTGAGCCTAATACCGAGTCTAAACCCCCAGACAGACTTTGAAGAAGTGAGGACAAGGAAAGGTCCTTTAAGGACGAACACAATCTAATGACCCATCACTGATGATTGTGATTCACAATTCTTCCTTCTCAGACTGTCATTTGAATAACTTTAGAGGTCTGAAGATGCTAAACTATCAAATATTTAACCATACAAAAGAAAGCAAGTACTAGAGAAAAATCTTATTATCCAGTTGGTTTCTGGGTCCCAGACTGGGAACCACAGCTCCAGGTCTACTCAGGGACTATCCCCTCTCTGCAGTGCTTAATCAATATTATCTGAACAACTCCTGCAATGACTGTGCATTTTATTATGTATACTTTCACGTTGTCTGTCTAGCATGACAGGATGATTTTTGTGTGTGTGTGGGGGCGGCCAGGTCTTCACTAAAACAACATGGATTTGAGTGCCTTGCTCAGGGGCACCTCAGGAGTAGGTATTAGGCAGGGGTGGAGTTTTAACCATAAAGTAAATATAAACCATACATCTTGCCAGTACTTTGTTTTTTGGTAGAGACATTTGGTAAAAACAGACCTTGGTTTAACCTTGTTCTTACTAATAATGGAGTCCCAAGGCTCTCTTTAAGTAAGTGGCTTTATTTCCTGGCCGGCAGAGATGTAACATGCTGTTTTAAAAATAACTCATTTAATTTCCGCCATCTATGTGCAGTGCGGTGCTATTCCCTGAAGGAGGCCACAGATGGCCCAAACACATCAGAGATGGTTTTAATGTTCTTTTGAATATAGCCATGATGATTTTAATGTTTCCTTGATGAGCACCAAATGCTTCTGGTGCTTAGTTACACGCGGATATACAGACCTACATCTTTTCTTTGGATTTTTTCAGGCTATGAGAAATGAAAGTAAGGTTTTTGTTTGAGAGAAGTCAAGGCAAACTTTTACTAGTCTAAAAGTCTGAGAGAAAACTGTTCATATCTCTTCACATGGGTTTGATGGTGATATTCCTATTGTGACTACTGTCTTTGTTTCAGAAATAGAATTCATCTTTTTGTTTTGCTTTTCATAAAATCCGTATAAGCAATAAATGGCTTACATAAGTGCAATAACAAGAAATCAGGAGAATAAATATATTTTATTAAAAATGTAAAAATTATCAAAGTAAAATTATTTTGATATCAATTAATACAGCTTCAATTTACAGATAATTCATAAATAATAATAGTTTTAAAAAAAAGGTGTCCACTGAGAAAGCTGATAACTTTTGATTCCACTTATGTTGACTTTTCTTTTGAAGTCATTTTAACTCCTTCTCTTCTTGTAGTCCACGTCTCTGCATCCATGTCTGTATTTCTGACTCGCAGTAGCTGGAAGCCCTGGCCACAGACCAGCACCCATCCCGTCCTTCCTCTCTTCTTCATGCTCTCACAGGAAGCCTTGGAACCTGTCTCGCTGTTTACCTCACACTCTGTCTTACCAACGCTGTCAGTCACTGTTAGGTTTCTACGCTCACCAGCTGTCTCAACTCCCTCCTCATCACTTGTCTCACAAACTGGGTCACCTGTCTCGCTTTTGGCTTCAACAGGTTCTCCGCCCTCTGCCTCATCAGCGGCTTCCTTATTGGATCTCCCACCTGTCTTTCCCTCTGCTGTCTCACACATCGTTTTTAATCCTGTCTGACTCCCCTTCACTCTCCAAATTGCAGTCTCCTGCTCAGACTCAAACCTTGTTTTCGTTGTTTTATCTCCTTCCTCCTCCTCTATCATCTGCCCCTCCCACACTGCGAGTCCTGCAGCATCTGCAACGTGGGAGCACAGCGCCCCGATGTGGCTGATACCAGTACTGCCGACACTCCACAGGCAAACCCTCTGATCTGAAGAAGTGGAGACCACGAGGGCTGGTCTCAGGGGCTTCAGGGCAGTCAGAGGGGCAGCATGAGCCAGCGGGATGTGGGACTGGGAGTGGAGATGAAGATTAAGCTGGTTTGAGGGTTGGAACTGGGTTTGTAGAGAAATCTGGGGCTCAGAAATCTGAGAAAACCCTCTGCTGCCCCCAATCTTGCAGTCCTCTGGGTACTGCACCCTAATCGTGGACACTGTCAGCTGCCCATCATCCCCTCCGCTAGCAACAGTTACCAGGCAACCGCCCTCTTGTCCCAGTTTCTCTGCCCAAACAGCCAATGAGTTGACACCGCTCTGGTGGGCGGGAATGTTGAGGCAGGGGATTGGCGGTGCTGGAGCGCTGCTTGAAGTACCGGTCGATAAGGAAGAAGCTTCAGTTAAATCCCACACAGCAATTTTGCCATCTGTTGCAGCGCTGAACAGCAGCTCATACCTGAGAAAGAAACATTAAAACAAACATGTACCTGTGAGACTTCTTTATATTTTGCCCAAATAAAAAGCTGGAAATTGAAAGTTTATCTGGATTTACTGGCCTCTTAATATTGCATCAGCCAGTGACTACTGGTTTCTAAAGCAGTGTGTGTTTTACTTTGAAACCTACCTGTAACTTGTAATGAAGGTGACAATATTCAGCTAATTCAGGCTCCATGAATAAAAAAAAAAAAAAAAAAAACTTTGGCTCACCTGTTGCCTTTCCATCCTCCAGGTTGCAGGCAGCAACACTGAGCACACAGCGCTGGTGGTAAAATGTCTCCCACAACAATTCAATTTGACATTTAACTTCACTGACTGAGAACAATCTGGAAGATAAGGTGAGAAGACAGAAAGAGGGAGAGAGGACAGCGTTATTACATGGAGGAGAGTACACACAGTCACATTTGAGTTATATTTTTCAAATAAATACACATTTCATATTCAGTCACATTCAGCTACAATCATCAGCGCTACCACTTCACTAAAGCAACTACTCTTTTGAGCGCATTATACTGTAACACTTTTCTCCAGATCCTGAGACAGAGGTTTCAGATGTGTGGAAAACTTTTAATTTTGCTTTGACAGACACACCAACCTGAGAGCTCCGTCGCTGCAGCCCAGAGCCAGAAGCCTACAGTCTTTCATCTCATTTACCACCACTACAGACATGTACCTGAAAACACAGACACAACAGAAAAGACTAGATTAGAAGTAGAATTTAAAAAGGAAAGAGATGAAAGGGGTAGCCTCAGGTTGAAACACAGATGTTTTTCATCATAATTTTCCACAAAAAGTCTCTTATATGCAGACTTTAAAAACATTGTTCTTGATAAAAATGGATGCGCGAGTGATGGAAGGAAAGAAGCAAGCAAGGAAGAAGAAGGAAGAAGACTCTAAGAAGTTAGGTATTCTTAAAGAAGATTTGATGTACATATGTGCAGAAAATAAAACACGCCTACTTTACAACAATTAACTTGCCTTGTTTCTGGATCCATTTTCACTGTCTTGTGTCGGTTCCGCCTCCTCTCCCACTGCTCGTCCAATCGATGACTGGCCACCTGGACTACCTGGCAGGAGGGAACCTGTCTCTGCCTGTCCCAGCTGATCAACAGCCGGTAACACTGCATCTGAGCTCGCCCGCCAGCTGACACGAGCAGGGCAGAGAGAGACTGAGTGTGGTTCTCTCTCTCTGGGCGTGTTAGCGCTGTCACTGTCCGAACGCTTGAGATGTGGTCGGTAATAACTGAGAGGACTCTGACGCTGCCAGAGTTGGGATGTAGCGCCAGGACGGTTAAGCTAGTGTCCTCTCCTCCCGTCACCACTATCTCCCAATCCCCTTCCTCCTTTACTTCATCTTTGAGTCCACCCCTTCCCTCAATTTCGGTCACATTTCCAGTACTCTTTGTTTGAATCTTATTCCCAGTTCCCCTTATCCTCCCCAGCCTGCATACACACCCAATCCCCCTCCCGTGGACGCCCTCTCTCAGGCCCCATCCTCCAGTCCTTCCTGCCTTCCCAGCCCAGCTCGGCGCCTCTCCAGGGGGTTGCGAAGCCAGGACAGTCCCCTGTTTGATGAAGACCAGAGCTCCATATCCAGGCCAAACCCCTTTGTGGGAAGGCCAGAGACTCCAGGAGCGATGTCCCCCACCACAAGGCACCGCTAGCAGCCTCTCTTGCCTCACCGGGTCCCAGACCACAAAGTGGATGGCATGGAAGCCAACGATGACGAACCTGGCTTCTCTTTCCTCCTTCTCAGTTTTTTCTTCTTCTCTTCCAAAGCTCCCCTCCTCTTTCCCATCCTCTGTCATCTCCAGCTTTTCTGTCAAATTGTGTTTCTTTGTCTTGTAGTGGTTCTCACATTCCTCTCCGACTTCTGCCTCCTCCTCCTCCTCTTCCTCTTCCACTGGAATTTCAGGTTCAAGAATCAAAACCTTCTCCAGCCACTCCATACCCTTGCAGGCCCGCTGGACTCTGAGAACCTCCAGCTGAAGCCCTCCTTTGTTCTTCACACCCTTTCCATTACCCTCTTCTTCTGGGCTTTCCGGTGGTGTTGGACGCACTCTGAAGACCCTCACACAGCCGTCTCTCCCGGTGCTGTAGAGCAGTCCCTGGTATTCACACACTGAAGTTACACCCTGTTTTCCATGCACTCCGAACAGGTAGTTCAGTGGGTGCAGTGTGCGGTCACCCACTTCTTTTCGTTCTCTTTCCTCCATCATTTCACTTCCATTTTCCTCACATCCAATCCCTTCATCATCAGTTTGTTTCCTGCCTGTTTTTTCATATACCATCCTTTGCTCAAGTTTTCCTCCTTCCTGAAACAAAAGCAGAGACCCTCTCCTGTCCCCACACACCCACAGCAACCCCTGTGACGTGGACATGAGGGGCACTGCAGCTGTTAGCCAGCGTTTGGCACATGGGGGGAGGAGGAAGGGAGGAAGGGGATTTACTCTGAGAGTCAAGGAACCGTTTTCATTTAGTTTTACTTCTATACACCAGCGGTAGACAAGTCCTTCAGCGCCTGAAGCTAGCAAATACAAGCTTTCTTCTGCCTCTCGCCAAATAAGACTATGGATCTTCCCTGACCCACCTGTGAGAAGAATCCCACACTGAGGATGAGAGATTGGGAAGACTTGTATGGACCCGTTGAGGTTTCCCACAGCACACAAGTTAACTGTTCCTATTGAGTCTTTTACAATAACCGTCTTTGTTTCCATCACACAGTAAGATTGAAACTCACGAGTCCCTTCCCAGACCATCTCCCACTGCCCATCGCCGTACTGGTAAACTATTCCTTGGTCAGTGCAAACCACAAACTTACTCTGACACCAGCCCACATTTTCATCCTCTTCCCCGACTATGCAAACCACTTTAGGCGAGCCTTGACCAGGAAATTTCAGGTCACTTAACTTCTCTGTCACTGCCTCCTCCACTCTGTCCTTCCTCTCCTCACTCCCTTCTACCCTCCACAACCTCACCCCTCCATCCGCCCCCCCTGTAGCCACCCATCTCTCTTCATCTCCTGTTCCTTCACTGATTGCGAGTGCACGAACCCCCCCAGCTCGGTGTCCCTTCAATGTACGAACCACCTTGCCACCCCCGGCCCAGTCCCAGACTAAACAGGCCCCATCCTCCCCAGCACTGAACACGTTCCCTGGGGAGAGACGCACTGAGAACACCCTAGCCTGGTGTCCATACAGGACTCTTAAACAAGTTGCGTTCGAGTCCCCGCATCTCCCTCCAGGGCCCCCTAAAGCACCAACACCCCACACCCTCACACTGCGGTCGTCAGAGGCTGAAGCCAGCCATCCTTTCTCTCGGAGGTATGAGATGCTGAAGATGACCCCGCTGTGGCCCATCAGGCGTCTCTCAACTGGAGCTTTGTACTCAGAATCTCCACTTTCGTTTCCTCCTCCAGGCTTCCAGACAACCAGCTGGTTGAAAACAGTCCCTCCTACTAAGACAGAATCTTCCCAGGATTCATGTACCAGAAGGAGGGCAGAGTACAGCAGACACCCCTCCAGACAGGAGCGCTGAATCAGGGTATTTCCTGTAGTGACGTCCAGGAGGAGAGCACTATTGTGGGCTACAGCCACACAGAGCAGAGAGCGTTTGTCTCCAGGGAGCCAGCGGACATCCAGGGCCCAGTCCTGTAGCTCCACGAGGGGACCCAGAATCTCCAAGCGCAGAAGCTCCCCATCCTGGAGATCCACGTGGAGCCTCACCAGCCTCACAGCCTTTCCCCCAAACACTGCTAGGTCATAGAAGTTGGGCCCCGAGATGGTGCTCAGTTCTGTGGATTGACAATACGAGAAGTGAATAAATACATCTATAAAAAAAATAACACGAGAGCTGTCAGTAAGTGCAAACTCTAAACCAACACTGGACAGTTCTTCTACAAGACATCACAGCCAAAGATACAGAGAACACTTGAATATTGAGAATCTTAATCATTTCTTCATTTATTTTATAACAAATAACTAACCAAATTAATCTGTTCTTTAGCTGAAAACTTTCCATTTCATTTCACTCAAATTGGCTAGTCGGAGTTTAACATATCCTGACAAAAGTGAAGAGATAAAACAACCTTGCTGAACAAAACACAACAGAAGAAATTAACCACTCAAAAGACAACAGTTAGTTGTGCTAACCATCTTTCTTCCCCCCGTGGGTTCCTGTGGCAGAGCTCTGTGCTGGGACAACCACCACACTTCGAGGTCTTATCCCATGGATTCTGCAGTGTTGGAGCACGCTCAGTGAGGCACAGGCTTTAGGGCGAGGTCGGAGACCGTACACTGTCAAGATTGGACCCTCACCTGCCAGGAAAGGGTAACAGTCTGTAAGTTTTCTATGTGTATTCAGTTTTTTCTACATTAAGCAAGAAGAAAAGTGACAAACTCCACAGCACACAAATTTGAAACATATGACAATCCACATTTCAAGCTCAACCTGGGAATTTTGGTGTATTTTGAACTTCCTACATGTGCACCACTGGAAATAGCACTTCTATAATGACACTGCTGCCTACCTGTCAGTAGAAACACATCCTGAAGGAACTCCAGAGCTGTGACTGGAACTACCAGGGCTGCTGTCTCCATTCCTTAATCAATAACTACCACTGAAGACATATCATCAACGGTGCCTGAAAGATATGAAGTGACAACACATAGTTGTTAAAGAAGGACAAAGAAGGAGCAAAGATGGCAAAAGGGTTGCGAGTTTGACTGGCCTTTAAAATATATAAATGTTGTTAAAGTCTGTGGTGTGTACAGTCACCATTCGCCTTTCTGTTAGCAAAACAAGCTAACAGCAAGAGCATTTCTCAAGTTACTTGGAAAAAAAATTAACATTTCTCGGTCCATAATAACGCCGCTAGATGCTCTATCTACAGAGAGCTTCAAACGCCACATAATGTGTTTCAAACCTGCGTTATAATATATATTTTGGCATCCACGTACCGCATTGTAGCACCATGTGTCTCTGTTATAGCTCCGTACAGTAACGCCGCGGTTTAACCAATCAAGCTACACTGCTGTCTTCTTGAACGCTGATTGGTTGGACAAAAGGTTAGACGTGTTTACATTGGACAGAGTGATACACGTGACCGACCGTCCTTGAGTTGTGCTGCCTTAATGTGTTTTCTGGAAAAAAGATATTTAACGTTAGTTAGCATTAATATGTGTATTGATTTTAAAATTACATTTTTGTTATTTCTTTAACTCTCGTTGAAACTTATTTAGACAAATAAATACATGATTTTCTCTTTACTACAGCGGCAGATAAAATTGTCCAGTTGCAACACTTTCTAATGCTAAGTCTTTTATAAATATCATAGGAAGTCATATGAAGTATCTCAATGCTCCAATGCTGCTTTATAGACATTTAACTGACAACCTCGCTGTCAAAAATAATAATTTCAAGTCATTTAAACAGTAACAACACGCTCAACGGTACAAACTGCGATTGCATCTTCCGAGCAGACATTGAACGCATCAGGAGGCAATAGAGGTAAGAGGTTGGCCGTTATATAGCGATCCAGCTAACTTCACAGCTCATTATGCCTGGGAAATGTAAATTCCAAAACTCCTGGCTCTCAAAGGGAATTTACAAGGACTGGCTGGCTAAGGACGTCCAGGACATTCACTTCGCCCGATGTAGGGCCTGTGGTAAATCAATCAAACTTAGGACCATGGGCGAGGCTGCTCTCACCAGCCACGCAGGGGGAGCTGGCCACAAAGCGGCGGTCCGCAAGCTACTGGAAGGTAGCTTAGCTTCAATTTTAAAACGGGGGGAAACAGCTTAGAAAGCATGGCCACATTGTTCACAAGTGTTTGTTAGTGCATGAGCCACTGACTGATTGATCGGCGCTGTTTGTTTAACTGGTGTGATTGTGGTTTGTGTTGTAGTAGTTCTATAGTTGGTGGTGGGCGTGTGTGTGTGTTTGTGTTTGT